CAAAACATACATATTTTATAGTTACAAAAAACTTTGTTTAGTAAGTTTTTGTAAAACTTTCAAATTATTCGTTTTTAATGAAATTAGAAACTTGTCAAAAATATACTTCTTGTATATTTTTGACAAGTTTCTAATTTCATTATAAATTATAAATACTCTTCTAAATCTATCTAGTGTTATTTCTTAATAGTCAAAACTTTATTTCAATATATATGTTAAAATTATTTAAGTACAAATATTTAGCAGGGTAACTGTAAGTGGAGGCGCGCCGGATGCTTTAGCCAGTAGAATAGTTCCTTCCGGAGATAATTCTTTATTGGAAATAACTCAAGATGTGATTTGTTCGGATGATTTGGCATCTTTTGCTGCTGAAGATTGAATGTTTTCCCTAACATTATTTGAGAGCATTGATGAGGCAAACCTTTTCCTAAAGGGCTGAGGCATTTACTGCAACGCACCTTTGGTTTTTTCTCAATAGTGGTTTGCTCTATAAGAGGATGTTTTTCTTGCAACTTTGAACAACCAATTCGGCATATTAGGCAACAACACATCGTGCCTCTTGTTTCAGGTCTCACTTGTATTGATTTAAAATCAAACAAAGGAGGGAGTGCAACTTCTTTCCCCTCTTGTTTCCTGATTTTATAACATAGCTGAAAATGCATAAAATAATTTTTTTATTTTCATTTGCTTAAAAGGTTGAAATTTCAATAACTTACGTCATCCATCAAAAAAGTTACGCTTTGCATTTAAAAACAATAAATTAAAAAATAAAAATGTTTTAAAAACATGTCTTTTTATAGAAAAATTACCAGGATGACGTAGGAATCTGATAGAATGGACATTCATGGCAAAGTGTTCCAAATTTCACTCTCAAGCACAGAGCTATGGTATCAAATCTTAGTTGGTCCAACTCAGGTTTTCCGCAAAATATGCGAAAACCAGAAAAGTGATTCTTATTCAATAAAAATATTTTAGCAATATCTTTTTTTATTCCACCTAATGTAAATATTTATTTAACAAGGAAAGATCGATAGAAAAATTTTATAAATTGAAGATGAAAGTATTCATAGAAAAAAGTTACTATTATTTTAATTTTTAACTTTTTATGCGGAAAAACTTTTATTTTTGATAAACTTATGACGTCACGCTCGTTTTTATATTGAGTGAAACAGCCGTGACTGTTAATTAAAGGTCTAAATTTACCAACTCCAGTTTTCAAATTTGACAACTAATTTTTGAATAAAATTTTCGTAGGGGCGAGGGGAGATGGTTAGACATCCCAAAACCCCCTCCCCCAACCTCAGGATGGCTTTATTAGTACTACCCCACGCAATGTTCGCATAGTTTATGTGACAATGAATGAGTGAATAGTATAGTTGAAGTAAAGTTGCTTATTTAAAAAATTTCTTGCTTTGTTTAGAATTCCGATGTTTTTTATATTTTACTACTTAAATTTTTAATGTCATTTTCATGTTTGATTTCATTTAGAGTGTCAGAATTTCATCAATGCATGTATAGCAAAAAAGCCGGTAACTGTTAATTTTTTAAGATATACAGTGGGGTACAAAAAAAAAGCCACACTAAATTTTTTTACTCATTTTAAGTATAAAATGTATAATCAAGCAACCCAAAAGAAATTGGATGTGGCAGTGAAAAATTTAGGACAGAAAAGATATGTTTATATATAAACTAATATTTATATAAATAAAATCTTTAAAAAACAGATTATTATGGACACATTTAATGTTTTAGAAAACATCTTACAGATGTAGAAATTGGATGAATTATTGAAGCTGCTGACCAAGGAGAGTCTCACAGAAGCATTGGAAAGCGTTTTAAACGAGAAAAATATTTCAACTATTAGTGTGTTTATACCAGTGTGTTTATATTTCTTTACCAATCAACTATTAGTAGATTGGTAAAGAAATATAAACACACTGGTAAAACTAAAAGGGCTGTTGGATCTGGGAGAAAGCCGAAAACTTCAAAAAAGGAAGATCGCTACATTCTTAACGCTGTCAAAAAAAATTGTAAAATCACTCGTTCTGAGATAAAACTAGATTTGAACCTTACTAATATCTCAAAGTAGACAATATCTCGCAGGGTTAAAGCATCAAGTGATCTTTTTTCTGAAAAGCAAATTAAAAAACCTTTTGTTAATGAAATCAATCAAAAAAAGCGCATAAAGTGGTGCATTGAGCACAAAGGTTGGACATGTGAACAATGGGCTAAAGTTATCTGGAGCGATGAGTTTCCATTTGTTTTGTATTATAATGGTCGATCTCACTGTTGGAAATTAATTTGGGAAAAATTCAATCCTCAAACGTGCAAGGCAACTATTAAGCATGACAAAAAGATTAATATATTGGGTTATTTTAGCGCACACAAAGTTGGAAAACTTTACCGGGTGAAGGGCATCATAGACCAGCAGTTGTATCACAAAATCTTAGTTAATCAGCTTGGACCAAGTATAAAAGAACTTATTCCTAATGGTGACTACATCTTTTAACATCTTAATGATCCCAAACATACAACACGGTTGACTAAAAGATATCTAGAATCTAAATTGATACCAGTTATGTCTTGGCCAGCACAGTCTCCTGATTTAAATCCAATAGAAAACCTTTTGTCTATTTTGGATAAAAAATTACAATTACTTACATTTGTAGGGCAACAAATGAAGATGATCTGTTCCAAAATCTTCTTGCTAGTTGGAATGCTTTGTCAAATGGCTTATTAAAAAGACTTGTAGATAGTATGCCTTCTAGATGCGCGAATGTCATAAGAAACAATAGATGGCCAAGTAAGTACTAAAACAGCTTTAACCTAAAAAATACTTTACAAATCCTAATTTCTTTTTATTATATGGTATATGCAATTATATTATAAACATTTTTATCAAAATTGGCTTATATTACTTTTATTATTCGAGTTTTAGACATTTATTGTTGTTGCTTTTATAAAAAAATTGAGGGTGGCTTTTTTTTTTTACCCCACTGTATGTTTAGTTTTATTAACATTAAATTTGAAACTCTTAAAAGTTTTTGATATTCAAAAAAAATTTTTTTTCAAAAAAAAATTTTTTTGAAAAGATCTTCGAAGAGTTCGACCTTTATCTTTTTCTTGTCATCAATGTCATCATTGTTATTAAATTAAACATAATTGTTATTAAATTGAGGCTTTGTGGAGATTAAATAAGAAAAAAATAATGGGGAAGGAGAAGTGAATCCTAAAAAAGTACCGACTGGCTTAGACAAAAAAAAGAAAAAAAAAAAGGTCCTAAAAACGAAATTTTATCCGACTGAATTGTGTCAAATACCGACTAGCTGACTAAATTCGTAAAAAAACCGACTATAACTTGAAAATCAACTTTTTCGGGAAGGTGGGGGTGACACCACTTCCCACCCACTCCCACCCGCACCCCCGTAAAATCGCATCAGAATACTACATCAATATATACAAATTGCTTTCGATTATTTAAATAGCTTTTAAACCAATTTAAAATATTACCGCCTCTACCGTAAATAATTTATTTAAAAGAATTTTGTAGTCTATTGTATTAATAGTTTTAACTAAGTAAATAATAAACCAATTGCTATATTTTAAATTGTTAAAATATAGATGATTATAGGTTCTATTAAATAAAATTTTCTCCAAAATCTTGGAAAATGTGGAAAAATTTGATAGTTGCTAACATATAATTATATGAGTCTTTAAATACTCAATAAGTATTACTTCCTCCTTTAAATATAGGAACCACCTCGCAATTTTTAGTTGGTTAGGAAACATTCCTTTCCTAAAAGAACAAGAGTTAAGCTTAAAAATAAATCTTCTATATCTTTAAATGATTTAAAAACAATATTTAGATTAAACTCCACCAACTGATTTGTTGGGTTTTAGCATTTTAAAAGCGCATTTAAACTCTTCAAAAGTTAGTTTAAGTGAATTAACTTGTGACAAAATATTTACTCAGCTCATCGACTATCTTTTCTTGATCATGCAAATTTTATCATTTATTTTAATGGTTTTAGGCTATGTAAGTATTTTCGTTTCGAAGCTGCCTGCGATTTTCATGAATTTAATTAGAATTTAATTTATATTTCTCAAGTAAACCATTAAAATGATATTTTTAAAGATTTTTCTTTTCAACGTCTCAAATTGTTTAACTTTTACATTTAGCTTTTTACTTTTATCTTTTTTTTAAATTTACAATTTTAATGTACAATTTTTGATTAATTTTGGAGGATTTTCTTAACTTTTGGAAGATTTTCTAAAAAATATAAATGGAGAAATCCATTTATATTTTTCAAATATTTAATTCAAATTTTTTTAAATTGCCGTCATTTTAGATTTGCCATTATTGAGCTCTGTTTTATTAAACTCATTATTCCACTGATTTTTTGAGTTTTGGTCAAGTTTTTTAAAATTTAACTCACATTGCGCCCTTACTATTATTTCTATTATTATGCACAAAAAAATGCTTTATTTAACTCTAAATTTATTTAACTCTAAATTTATTTAACCCTTAATTTATTTAACTCTAAATTTATTTAACCCTTAATTTATTTAAAACTTATATAAAGTTAATTTAAAACTTTTTTATTTTTTATTAAAAATTATTATAAAACTATTTTAAAACTAATTTATTTAAAACTTATATAAAGTTAATTTAAAACTTTAAATTATAATAAAGTTATAATATATAGATTAAAATCTGAGTGTAAAAAAATTAAAAAAAAAAATTAATATTGGGAATTTTTTTGCCATTTTATCACTTATCTGAGGATAGTGCAACACATAGTTTGGAGCACGTATAATGCTCTGAATACCATGTATATGTAACGGACATATAATATGTATTCAGATGATATATATGTGTAAAAGCTTGCCAAGTTTTAAACTTTATATAATTTTGGTGTAGTTTTTAACATCAAATCAGTGAGCTGTTACTCAATATGCGCAAAATCGCTGTCAGAATCTTTTGCTAATTTAAATAAAATTAATATGCGTTAAGTAATGGCGATATTTTCCGTTAATATTTTATGTATTTTTATTATTTTTTATTTGCACCTAAAATTCCAGTTAACAAAAGGTATAATTTTATTTAAAGAAAATCAAACTTTATTTTGTTTTGAAAATTAAAAAAAATAGATTAACATTTGAAAAGTGCTATATTTAATTTTTTTTTAAATGAGTTTGTCGTACTTGTACTGTGTTTCTCAGTATTCACTAATTCTTAGCATTTACTTATATCTGTTATTATCTCACAGAGGTACTCGATAACAATTTAACTAATAAAGCTGAAGGATGCCCAATTACTTTTCACAACTATGATGACACTTTACAAATTTCTGCGGACTGTGATGAAGGAGCTTCGTTTTCTCAACTCATGAATGAAAACGAATCAGGTGAATTTTTTTCATTTTTAGTTAAAAAAAAGAGTTTTTAAACTAATTTAGAAAATATTTTTTACATTAAGAACTTGGTAGGTTAGAAATAGGTAGGTTAGGATCTTGGTAGATTTGGAACTAGGTAATCTTTCATTTTGCAAGCTTTATTTAAAAAAAAATCTCTGCGAATTTTACAAAAAAAATTATTTTAACATTATAAAACAAACAAAAACGTTTATTCTTTTGTAGGATATATTTGTCTATTAACAGAAATCTGTTGCAATTTTAAACCTGAGTATACTAATACCATATAGGTTGATGCACCCAAATAAGTTTTGATTGTAGCAACTATATTATTTTTAGTCAACGAACTAATTGTGTTTTTAATTTTAACATCTTTCCTTAGGGATAGACAAGGGTTATTAGTTAGTATGAGTTTCTGTTAAAACCGTTCTCAATATGTTTTAATGAGTGCATTTATTAATTTAAATCATGTTTTTTTATTTTTCATATTTATTGTTTAGATAATTCTAAAGTTGGAAGACTGTTTCCGTTGCTTCTTGGACTAAACTTAAAACAACTGACACAAGGAATATTTCAAGACGGAAATATGCTATTTACAGACATATATGTAAATACGCATTTGTTTAAGTTTACTGGATCGTTAATGAATACTCTCCATTTTGCTGATGGAAGTTTGTCTGTTTCAGATGTAAAAATTAAAAAACTGGAACTTGAAATAGGTTTGAAAATATTTTTGTTGTTTATTACTTGATATATTATGAACATATTTTTGCGAGTTATAATAATTACAACTTTCGTGTTTATAAAATATACAATTGGGGGGGATAAGATAATTGTCTCATCACCAAGCCTCTAAATTTATTAGATTACATATTAAATGACCTACTATAATTACAGTAATTATAGTAGGCCATCGTATAAGGTATTTATAAACGTAATTAATATTTTCAAGAATTGTAGTAAGCCAATTTGACGCCAAAAATTTTTTATTTTAAATTAGAAAAAGTTTAAGCTACAGCTTGTGTTAGCTAGCCAACTAAAGACTATGTGTTAATAAGCTAGGATTAAAATTTATTAAAAGTTTAAAAAGATAATTTCTTAATTTTAAAATTATATTCAATGCATTCATGATGACGCAATAGATAAAACCCTGACTTCAGAACCAAAAAGTTAGAGGTTTCGAAAAATAAAGTTTCTATGCCCGCTTTGGCCATAAAAGCAATATAAGTAAAAAATAAAACGCTGAAAATTTCTTATTAAACACCTATTTTTCTTTTTCTTTTTAAACTTTAATTAACTCTAAATAGTAATAATAAACATAAATAATTAAATAATCAAAATATGAACTATTTTTAAAATTTTGATGTTTAAGGTTTGAACAGTTTTATATAAATATTTGTCATAATTACATCAAGGAAAAAAAAAGATTTGTATTTAAAGTTACCCGCTATTTAAAGTTACCCCGTTATTCAAAATTACCCCGCTATTCAAAGTTACCGGTTTACGGTACGTTAGCACGCAGTTAACTAATTGTTAATTAATTAATGCGTATTAATGCGATAAAAATGCGTTAGTTTACCCAGCCCTAATATATATATATATATATATATATATATATATATATATATATATATATATATATATATATATATATATATATATATATATATATATATATATATATATATATATATATATATATATACATACATACTTTATATATGTACGTATGTATATTGCTTTATTGCGGGTCACGGGCTACATAGTAGCTATATAGTACCTATTAAGCAGGTAGTGTAGTAGCTTACTATATAATAACTACAATATCGGACAAAACGAGTGCAACCAATTAATTCTAATTTAGTTTCATTATATAAAAGTGCTGCATTTTTTCAATTTAGATAAATAACTATGTGACTGTTTAGAGACAACGTTCTTCAAGTTTTATTCATCACAAAATTTATTATTTGTACACGAAAATTAACAAACTAATAAAAAGTATTTAAAAAAGTTAGTTTCCTTCTAGACAAAACAAGCGCAACTCCACAGAATGTTGACCAAACTGTATTTCGCAATCAATATTTAGTGGCGAATCCTTTGTTGTAGATCACAGCTTTCGATCAGGTGATCAATAAAACTTTGTAGAATCGCTGCTCAGGCCTTTTGGATTTGTTCAAACAGTTGATCCTTATTACGAACACCTTCACGATTAATTCTGCGATTGACGATCTCCCAGAGGTTCTCGATAGGGTTGAAATCCGGAGATTGAGGCGGCCAATCCATCACCCATAGGTGGTTGTCTTGAAACCACTGCTTGACTACTTTTGCAGTGTGTTTCGGATCGCTGTCTTGCTGAAAAACCCATTTTATTGGCATATTCCATTTAGCATGAGGTAGCATTACATCTCTCAGGATATTTTTATACATGAAACGGTCCATTATTCCATTGTTTCGATGTACTGGACCTAGACCGTTAGCAGAAAAACACCCCCAGACCATTACATTGCCTCCACTATGCTTCACGGTCTTATAGCAGTAACGTAAATTGAGACGTTTTCCGGCCGGTCGACGTACACGGCAAATCCATCGCTCCCAATGATGTTGAACTTCGATTCATCAACTTCGAACTTGTTCTGGAAGATTCTAGATGCTTTTTTTCAATGCTTCTGGAAGCTTCTGAATGCGTCAGGATGCTTCTGAATATTTCTGGATACTTCTGGATGCATCTGGATGCTTCCAGATGCTTCTTCTGGAAACTTCTGGAAGCTTCTGCATGCTTCTGGAAACTTCTGGATACTTTCTTTAATTATTAAAAAACTTCCATGACGTTGACACGGACCAGACTTAAGAAAATGAAACAAACCAAAAAAGTTGCACTTTTTTTTTCAGCTGCAAATGGCACTTGTCAAAGAAATTCTGCCTGTGTGCTGTCACCTGTCAGCTGGTTGCTCATGTCATGGCATGCTATGACTCCAGACTCCTGAACTGTTTGTTGTGGTAGTATAGTTCGTTTCGTTTTTAAGGTATATAAAATTAGGAACACTTTTTAGCATTGTTTGATCTTGGTTGCACATGTTTTGTCCAATACTGTATGTATTGAGCGCGTAGCCCTTGGGCTATGCAATACTTACGTAATCAACATTCCTGCTTGTTTTTATGGATTAACCAGCCGGTAGTATGAAAGGCTTTATATATATAACTCTTTTTTGAAACCATCAATAAAAGTGAAAAATAAAATCTGCCACATGGACAGAAACTGAACTTCTTTAAATGGTTAAATAATGTCTATTTCATTTTTATATATAGTAAAAAGTCAAATGTACAGTCAATGATACACATAAATAGTTTAGCATAATTTTTTAATATAATTTTTACAGTATTTATGCAAAATATAAAACATTTTTTAATAAAATATAAAACATTTAAAAAAAAAAAAAAACATTTTTTAAGATAATATAAAACATTTTTTAAGAATTTATAAAACATTAAAGAATATATAAAAGATTTAACTAGTTAATTAAATGTTTTATATTTTTTAGTTAGTTGGTAGTTAGTTGGTTATTAGTTAGTTGCAGGGTTGGCAAACCCGATTTTTTTTTTTAAATTCCATTCTCTAGCCTACTTTTTTCCATTTATCATTGACATTTTTAACTATATTCTATATAATTAAAAATGTCAATCGATAAAAATATTTGAATAAAAATTGTAATAAATTTCCAAATAATGATTCAAATATTAGTAAACCTGCTCTAATAGCTGTTATTATTGGTTATAATAGTTAATAATAAAAGTTAACAATAATTTAGTTAATAATAATAGTTAATAATTGTTTCAGTTAATAATTTTATAGTTAAAACGTTAAAGTTGGTTATAATAGTTCATAAACTTATTAAATACTTTAAAAAAACCGAGATTCTGATAAAAACTCAAAAAAAAACAGATTTTTCCGGGTTTTATTGAGTTTTTTTAGCGGGTTTTATTGGGTTTTATTGGACGGGTTTTTTTGGGCGGATTTTTCAATGCCAACCCCTGTTTAGTTGGTACCTGAAAAGGATAATTTTCAGGTACCAACTAAACAGGGTTTAGTTGGTACCTGAAAATGAGTCTATTATCAAGCTTTTTATCATAATTTAAAGTTTAGAATCAGAATTTTAAGTTTGGAATAAAAGTTTTACATTTATAAAACATTTAGTTTTAATATGGTGAATAATGTTTGTTATAGTTTTAAGTTTATATTAAGTACAATTAAAAATATAAAAATTACTATATCCATATTAAATAAATGTTTTTTTTTATCCAGAGAAAACTTTTAAATGCCATATTCAAGCAATCCTTAGTATACTGATAAATAAAATATATTATTCAAGCTTTATTTTGTTATTTTAATCGATAAATGGAAAATGAGAGAGAAAGAAAAGATATTGTATTACAAAGGATATTGTAAGAACCATAAGTCAATTCTTAAAGAAATGAAGATAAAAGAATGTGCGGAAGAATTTGAAATATCAGTTTCTGCAACACGTTCTGTTTCTGATAAAATCTGTAAAGGACTTAGTGATGAAATTGCATCAGTAAAAAAAAGAAGGCGCAGCTTTTATGACGAGACGGTTAAATCTGAAATTCGATTGTTAATTGAGCATGATCCATCTCATACTTGATGAGAATTGAGCATGATCCATCTCATACTTGATGAGAATTGAGCATGATCCATCTCATACTTGATGAGAATTGAGCATGATCCATCTCATACTTTAGCGTCATTGAGTAATAATCTTGCTAAAGGAATATTAATGCATCTGGCATGTATAATGCATCTATACCAACAATATCTAAGTATTTGAAGTCGATGGAGTTCACTAGAAAACGACTTACCCCTACGGGCATTTGTTTTTAAAAGTTACATTCTAAATGTATTTTAAATGTCTTTTAAACGTCTTTTAAACATTCTTACGTAAAAAACGTTTAAAAAACGTTTAAAAGACATTTAGAACGTAACTTTTAAAAACAAATGCCCATTGGGACATTAGTACCAAAAGAAAGGAACTCGCCACAAAACGTTGATTTAAGACAACGTTTTTGCAGGACTATTAATTCAATTCCTGATAATAACTTAATGTTACAGATGAACAGGCTTTAACTTACATACTTCTAAGCAATATGGCTATTCTATAAAGAATACAAAAGTTTTTGTTGCAGCGCCAACAAATCGTGAAAATATCGTAAGTCTTATGACCGCTATAACAGTTAATGGTATTCTAAGCTTTAAGATAGTGGATAGTGCCTATAATGGCAATCTTTTTTGCGATTTTATAACCAACAATTTAAGACCGTAATTCCAAATGAATCCCCATTTTGTACTAGTTTTGGATAATTGTGCATTTCATCGACGAAAAGATATATAATCAATGTGCTCGGCCAATCGGTGTTTCAGTTTACTTTTTTCCACTATCTTCTCCGCAATTAACCCAATCGAGGAATACTTTAGTTGTCTTAAAGCTAATTATACTTCTTTAAGGCCGTTTCCAAAAACTAGCAATGAAGTAAAGGCTACTTTAAATTCGCTTATACCAACAATTGGCGTTGATTTTTGTGGTTGGTATTGCAATATAAGAAGATGGGTTTTGATAGGCATAGCAAAACAAAAATTTTATTAAATTGGGTACTTTGTTATACATATTATATCTTTAAATATAATGAGTTATAGTTATATAAAATACTCTTTATTCTTTAAAAATTTATGAATAACTTTATATATCATAAATGCACTATTGAATCAACCAAAATGTTTTATAATTTTCTTAAAGATTGTTTTATTTCTTTTTAAATGTTTTATAATTTTTTAAAATTTGTTTTATATTTATATTATAAATGTTTTATATATTCTTAAAAAATGCTTTATATTTCCTTAAAAAATGTTTTATATTTCTGGCTATTTTTGACACCTAAAATTCTATTTTAAAATAAATGTAAAATGGTGTAGAGATGTGATAACATTTAGTCCCAAGAGGTTTTACTGTTATGTATCTACGTTATGTTGTCTAGCCTCTCATAATTATTTAAAAAAACAAACATTTAAAATAATGTAGTGTAAACTTACTAGTATCTTATGCTAAGTATTATTTCTTTGCGTAATTGTAGTAATGTTTTTGTTGCAATAATTTGTGTTGATAGACTGCCTAGCTTATCTTTCCCTGTTTATTGTTAAAAATGGTTAATTACTCTATCAAATTGCTATTAATCATAAAAGACAACATTTGGTATTACTACAATAAAATTTGTTTAAATCTTTAGTGTTGTTAATAATTTTGCTCTTTGAATAATATTTTATAGTTGGCTTCATATTAAAGACGACGCCATTGCAAAAATTATAATATCACTGTTCATATCTGTAAAAAATGTATAAACATTTTAAGGTTAACGGTTTTCTTTACCATAAGCTGCTCCTATTTAAAATAAGCTGGTTCCCCCGTTTTGTAGATGCCAACTGTTTTAACTGATTTTGAAAAGTACTTTCATAGCAGAAACTGGGATGCCTTCAACATTGTTTACTAAGATCGAAAAATGTTGTGTTTTAGTTGTAATTTTTTTTTTAAATCTGAAACTTGTTACAAAAATACATATATTTTATTTTGTTACATATTTAACTTTATATCATTTATATATTTTAAATAAATTTGTTTGAAAGACGTATAAATTTAAGATTTACTGTTTTATGGATTCTTTAAAAAGTTTTTCATAAACACAGGTTTGAGTATATACTATTTGAGATATATCTATTTTTTAACCTTTTTAGCCATTACCTATCCAAAAAAATTTCTTATAAACTAGTTAGCTCGACGCAAAATGCAAGGCAAAAGATATTACAGATATTTTACGCTATATATTTTCCGCATTTTCAAATTATCACTATATCGCTAACTGTATTTTATTTTTGTTATTAAATTTTGCCGTCATATAAAATAAAATAAAGACGGCTTCAGTAAAAGAAAAGAACGAAGTTTCAAAGTTTAAAGTTATGAAAGCAATAAATAAACAATGAAAATAAAGCTTCAATATTTTAACAGACAAAATATTCAATTAAGCCATCTTTTAATATATATTCACTTTATTATAAAACAAAGTGGATTATTAAAAAACAAAGTGGATAATTATATTATAAAACAAAGTGGATTATTATAAAACAAAGTGGATTATTAAAAATTAACTAAATTGAATATTCTGGCATGGCATAATTATGCTATGTGCATATAACACCCTAGTAATGCAAGAGGATATGGTAAATAAAGATCTTTAATGAGGCTGAGATCATTACTTTCTACTATTTTCTGTAACTTATTGAAAAAAAAAGGAATTAATAGGAGGTGTGCATCAGTTTTTTTATGACTCGTATTAGGGATCCGGACTTTCTAGTGATTATTGTTAACTAACAGCAATTAACTGTAGCTAGTTACTTTTAGTAAATTTCTATTTAGGTGAAAAAGATTTTTGCAACGTTGTAATTGAAATGAGCGGAAAAATTGAACTGAATGGCCAACCATTTGAGATTTCGTTAACAAAAACAATTCAAAAATGGTATCAAACTTATTATGTTATAAAGCACTAAGTTTGTTATTTTGCTATTTATTTCTTCTAATATTATTTTCTATAGTAAGTTTACTATTTAATTTTGAATATTTTTCAGTTTTTATGATGTAAAAATCGCAGAACTAGGAACCATGACAATTGAAGAGTTAGTCTCAACTTTTAAAACAAGTTTAGAAAACATCCAAGAACTTAAAGAAATAAAAAAAAATGAACTAAAATTGTTGACTCTTCTAACCCCAACAATTATTGGTGAAGTTGCTGCTGATGGACATATGCAACTTTTAGTTAACGCAGAAGTAAATGATAACAACCTCTCGTTAAAGCAAGTCAGCGTCATTGTAATCATTGACAAAAAGAAAGGAGAAAATACAAAATTGGCAATCGTTTTTAACATTAATAAAGGTTACATTTATAAATTTTTATAAAAAAAAATTACATTTTTATATAATCCATTACAAACTTTTATTTTAAATTTTTAAAAATTTTTCCCACATTCTTTTTTTATTTTAAACATCTTTTTTTATTTTATAAAAAAAGAATGTTGAACTTGCAGAAAACCACTAGGTCTTCTGCTATAACAGAAAAATAAATTCACATAATTAAAGATAGTTCAACTTTTATTATGATTTAAATATGGTTTATTACATAAATTTTAAAATTTAAAATGAATAATAATATACCATAATAAAAACATTTATTACAAAATTTTTTTGAAGTCATTAAATAATTAATTAAAAAGTAGTTATCTAATAAAGAGTATATATATATATATATATATATATATATATATATATATATATATATATATATATATATATATATATATATATATATATATATATATATATATATATATATATATATATATATTCTTTATTAGATATTTAAAATACAAATTTCCAATTAAATATATAATGTCATATTCTGCATATAATATATAAAGATTATATATAGTATTTAAAAATACAAACAGTCAAATAAGAAGATAAAATGTTGAATTTTTTTTTTTTTTTTGTAATAAAAATTATTCAGTAAGATTTAAAACGCAAATACGTAAACGTGGATACTGAAATGAATTTAATGGTTTTGCCATATTTAACTTGCTTTTCAGAAAAGAGTTTCATAGCTCTTCTATAAGCTGTACTATATTCTGTGTAATTATTTAATTTTTTTACGTAATTTATATGTGTTACTTTGATTTTTTCTTAAGAAATACTTATTTAAAATTTATTAAATTTACTATTTATTAATTTTAAAGATTTTAGGAGTTAGATTATTGGTATATTTAAACATAAAGTTTAGGTATTGGTAAATATTTATCTCTTATTTGTTCATCATTTTCATATCCATCGTTAAAGGTTTAGTGTGGTCCCCGTTATTTATTACATATAACTCTACAAGCATGTTTTTGTTAACAAAAAATTTTTTTAAGTTTTTTTAGTTGACAACTTGCCCAAGTAATATTTGCATAAGTAATGTAGCAATGAATTAAGCAGAAGTATATAAGCTTTAGATTTTTCAAATTTATGTATGGGCAAATTTGATACATAATACTAATGGTTTTAATAATTTTTGATTGTATATATTTTAAATGTGGAAGCCATGATAAATGATCATCCATAATAACTTCTAAAAACTTTATAGTATCTTGGTTTTTAGTTTCTTGATAGTTTATACTAAGTTTTGGCAGTTTTAGAGGAAGGCTTTCTTCTTGTGTTTTTTTATGAAACAAAGTTTAATGTGTATTTCATAAGCCTTTGATAAATCTATGAATACTCTGAGAGTAAACTTTTTCAATACCATCAGTTATTTGGTCGACTAATCCAAGAATGTTTTTTTGAAATCCGAATTGTTTTGGATTAAAAGATTTATTTTTTGTAAAATAATCAAAGATTTTATAATAAACTAGACGTTCGAAGATTTTTGAGAAAACAGATAGCACCGATATGGGTCTATAGTTAGATACGTCGGCACAATCATTATTTTTATAAATTGGGTACACTATTGAAAATTTGAGTATATAAGGAAATACGCCTTGATTTAAAGATAGGTTTACTATATGGAACGAAGATTTTGTAATCCGGGCCGTCCCGAACGGGGGGTGTAGGAGTGTCTCCCCCTTCCCCCAAAGCTCTTATATAAGCATTTGAGTTGGCACATAGAGAAAGTTTTGAACTATAGTTGGCAAATTGCAAATATTGAGGGTCCTTTTTTTTTTGGTGTCTCTAGTTAGTAAAAAATAGATACAACACCAAGTTTTGTCAAATATCGCTAAAAATTAAGTTAAAAAAAATACTAAAAGCTTCTTTGTATTATGGCAATTACCCGGTGGGAAATGAGCTAGCGACTAGCAAGCGACTAGCTAGCTTTATAGCAATTTTTTTTTTCTTATTTTATTCTTTACTAATGTCTCTAACATCTTTAAAAATTCAATTTTTAGTGTTGAATCTATTTTAATTATGAGAATAATTGAACTTGAAGCAGCCGTGGCGCAGTGGTAGCGCACTTGCCTCAGAAACGTAAGATCCGTGGTTCAAACCCCACCTCTGGGCAAGTTTTGCGACATCGGTTGGGAAGGAGGCGTGAACTTCCTATTAAATGCTCTTCCGCGGTGCTCTGTGATAAGACCGTAAGGACTTCTTGGGGCACCTAAAATCAGCATAAAAAAAAAAAAAAAAAAAAAAAAAAACTTTAAACATTGCGATTTTGTAGCAATGTGTCGACAGCTACATATCGTAGCTTTGTAGCTAGCTACAAAATATCTACAAATCTATAGCTGGTTGATAGCTACATACCAAAATTTTTTTGATAGCGATTTTATTACGATATGACAGTAGCTACAATAGGTTGTGAGTCTTTAGCTTATTAAGCTAGCTGTCCTCGTAGCCAAATCGCTGTCTTTGTCTTTACAAATATTGATAGCTTTTCGCTAACTTAAAAAAGATAGCGATCCTCGTGGCCAAATCGCTGTCTTTATTGTAACGATTATAGCTAGCTATTCGCTAGCCGACTTCCCACCGGGTATAGACATCATTCCAATTTACTAAATTTAATTTATTCGATATTTTTATTAGTAACGGTTAAGTTGCATTTTTTAAACTTGCAAACTTAAAAATTTTTTTAGTAGTAATGTAGATCGGGAAGTGATCACCTTTATCTGTTTTAAAAATGTTTGACTGAAATGACGTTTTTAAGTAATTGTTTATAGGGGAAAGCGGGGCAACATGGCGAATAGGGCAAGATGGGTTTTCATATAACGACTCACCAAAAAATCTTAAAATCAGGTGAAAACGAAACTGTATTTGCATCTTGTATTTTAAAACACCAATTGGTTTTTTTTAAATATTATTAACGCCATATTATACCCATAAGTTTACTTTTTGCGCTTAAAAAAAAATTCCTCAATTTCGGTTTCTCATAATGGTTGGAGTCCTTCAAGTTAAACTTCTTTAGAAGTAGTTTTTTGCGACTTGTGTTTATTTTGTGTTACTTTAGTTAGAGTTATTGGTAATTTTTAAAAACTCATAAAATTGGAGGCAAAAATTGCATAATAAGTCATCTTGTCCGGTCACGTGACCAGATGACAAATTTATGATCTTTTTATTTTAATATTTATTTCAAATTGTTATATTTGCAAACTGAAAATTCATGCAGGCAATGAATGATTTTAATAACATAAACATACTGAGAAAGTAATATTGTGAACGACTGATAGTTTTACAATAACTCAGGGCTTTCGAAACGTTCGCCATGTTGCCACGCTTTCCCCTATATTATCGATTGCATGTTTTGAGGTTTTATTTACCCGAGTAGGTTTATTGCTTACTGGCAAGACATTATATCAAAAACGATTTAGTTTTTGGAAAGTTGTGGCAATTTAGCGCGTTTAAATTTATATCACCGGTTGTAGGGGAAAGTGGGGAGAAGTGGGACACGTAAATTTTTTTTAGGGTTATTGCAATATCTTTTTTATGTTATGTATAAACTGAGCCAAACAAGTTTTTACGAATAAACCTTCTTTTTAGGCACCGATTCAATCCCCTTAGGTTTCCAGCCAATTATAACTAAGTTTATAAATTTTTGCTTTTAGAGAAACCGTGTCATTGGGGTAAAGTGGGAAAAGTGTGAGTAGAAGAGGGGAAAATAAACTTAAACTGATAAAATCATAAAATCACCTAATCGACTTAAAAATGTTCAAGAGCTTTCACCAATCGAAATTATCAAATGGCGACGGGAAGAAGCGGGGCGTTAAATATTTCTTTTTTCTGTCTCACTTCATGGGGTGAAGTAAACTAAACACTTTTTTAAGGTACATTTCAAAATTAGGGCTTCTAGCGCACGCAGGGAAAAACAATTTCTGCTAAATAGAGGGGAACAAATTTAATTTTTTTACATTAAATATTAGTATTTAGGCACCACTCCTAATTAGAAATTTCAAACTGTCCCACTTCTCCTGTGTCCCACTTCTCTCCACTCTCCCCTACATAATTGTTTTTATTTTGTTTGTTTTCAAAACACTCTTTTTAATAAAATTTTAAAATAATCTGATTTCTCTACATGGTGGGCTGTAAACACATTCAATTATAGTATTTTTACTTTTGTTATTAATGATTTCAATAAAAAGACTTTTATAGTTTTCATATACTAAGCATAATTGTTTTTTCATCTTAAATTTTTCCAGTATTTAAACTCTTAGTTCTTCACCTTTTTTATGATTTCCTCGTGGTTGGCCCGACGGGCATTTGTTTTTAAAAGTTACGTTCTAAATGTATTTTAAATGTCTTTTAAACGTCTTCTAAACATTCTTACGCAAAAAACGTTTAAAAGACATTTAAAATACATTTAGAACGTAACTTTTAAAAACAAATGCCCGTCGGGTAACTACTTTGTAATTTTGCAAGTTGAGTTGTCTCTTACACAGCAATTACGTTGAACGTGTAGTTTATAATATCTTAAAATTCTTTAAATTTTTAAAAGTTTTAAGATTACTTTTTATATTTAAATGTAATATAGAAAAATAGTTAATATCTTTTTAACTTTAAAATTATAAGGATCAATATATGATGTTTTCATTTAGTTCGTTTGAATTTCTTTAATATTATTTAAATTATTTTCAGAGTAGCTCAGAAAACCCTTAAAAGGATCAAAATTTAAAGTTTTAAAATCTTTGTTAAAAGATTTTCAGCCAAGATAAAATAAGAGCATATTTAAGAAATCATATAATATTATTACTTACTTTTAAACAGTCGGTAAAATTTCAACTACATCTATATTTTTTTGCCTAAATTCGTGTACTATAAATTTATAATATAGAAAGCTTGCATAATAGCTATTTTGTCTATAAGTTTTTGCTTGTTCAAATAGTTCTTTACTAATTCTCCTAGTTGTTTCACTAAAACCCT